AAGCTCTGTTTTTTTACTACCTAAAAAGAGTTTAATAAAATAAAAATTAAATTATAGCATAACTTATAAATAAGTTTTGAAAATTATAGAGTTTTAGGTAAAAATATGAAATTAAAAATATATGTAGAGTTTATAAATATTAGTATCTTATTTGCATAAGGTCTAACCTAAAAAAACGGTGCCATCTTCTGCTCTAAAAGGAGCTGAGGAAACTAATTCGGGAATGTTCAGAGGCATTTTCTTATAGTATTATCCATTAATAAGAAAATATATATTTTTTATGTTTAAAATTTTTTTTTTGAAGAGAAGTATAAAATAAACTAGTTTTATATAGTTTACAACCTATCCATGAAGAATCAATGAAATAACTTTTTATTACTTATAAGCTTAATTTTTGGTTTATTTATTTATATAGAAACTAGTATTTGACCAACTTCTATCTAACAAGTAAACAATACTTTTAAACGTCCATATTCAGAATAATACAAACTGCCATCGGAAGGATCTGGTATGAAGTTGATATCGCTGGCTTGACTTACGGTCACTAGCAAAGGCTCTTGAGCAAACCACAATTAATAAATTTGTATAAGCAACTTAATAAATTCATTTAGAATAACAAAGTATAAATATAGCTAAAACAGCTAAAATTCACGTAACTTACTTTTCAGCGAAAAAGACCAAAGCATATTACCCGAACGCAATTCTACAGCGTAAAAAGTACCATCTATAGTGCTAATAAACACAGAATCCTCACAAATATTCTCTTTGATCACCGCAAGCTCTTGAGCTGGCCGTGCTTCAGCTCTAAAAACCGAAAACAACACAAGTAACTTGAAGGATGGAAGATGAAAAAGATTGCACATCCCTAAACATGGCCAAATTGCTTATTACTTATGTGTTTCCACCAAAAAGTTTTAAGGTAAGGGCATATATAGTTAATATGGAAAAACTATAGCTTTATTGTATTCCAGGACAGTATTAACGCACTTGTGACAATATTCCTACTAACCACTTATTGACTCTAGCATGAAAATCACTACTCCCCCGCCGCTTTGTTTATAGGAGACGAGGTTACCTTTGGGTTAAAAATTCCATAGCGAGTTAGGCGAAATTGTAAAGCAAACTAAAAACTTTAACATTTGTTATTAACACTTGGGTTAGGTTACTATTTTATATTGACTTTTATGCAATTCTAGACTTGCTTAATTACACCAAGCCTTTTTGCGAGTACCTCTTACTTTTTCGCCTTTATGTTAGGTATATAACTTAAAACCGCTTTATTTCGCGAAAATTTAATATTTATAAAGCACCGTGTCTTTCCTCATCTTCCTTGAAACAAACGGATTTTCCTTCCAAAAAAAAAAAAGACTCATCTTAGGAGGCTATACATTTTAAGACCCATATTTCGAGGTTTTGAGAGTCAAATAGTTTTTAACAAGCGCGAGTCCATTAAGTGAAACAAGTGATATTCGGAAGGGACAAAGTCGGGTAAATAAGCTGCAAGGGGTAGTACTTCCCAGCGAAGTGTGTCGTGTTTTCCCTAACAGCCTTATTGACGTGCTGTTGAGCTTTATCATAAAGCCAAAATTACTTAATGCTGTCTTGTTTCATACTCTGTTCTTTTTTTTCTCGCAATGCTTGGCTTAAACGGAACGTTTTTTTGTTAGTAGAGATTCCTTGTAGCTGTTTCGCCAGGTTACCTTATACAAATCATGTCTTTTTTCCCATGTGCATTGCGTTTTGCCGTAGCTGTTAATGGTTGTCTTGGCTCGCAAATAGTTTTTCGGCGTTTGAGGTTATCAAAATAGATTCATTTTTCATAGCTAGTAACAATTTGATATAAAAATATTTTTCTTTTTGCCTGGCAAGTAGAATTTCAGCTATAGCTTTTTTTCTTTCGATAGCTCTTTTCAGTTTATGTGGTACCTACTTTTTATGCTTAGATACCTTTCTCATGGCTTTTAAAGGTTTGAAAAAAGCTTTTTAGGTAAATATTACGTTTCGGCAAGTTGGTATTGCTTTTGACATGGAGTAACTGTAAGTGCTGACATGGACTTTCTTTAGTGCTTGTGCTAGCTACTGGTCCCCACTAGTTAGCATGTCATTGATATAAATAGAGATAGTATAGTGGAAACCGGATTTGTTGGAGTTCTTTTTTTTTTCTTGCGCAGTCCTCTCACCGTTTTTAGATGTGGCCGGGGGAACAAGCTGCCATGTTAATATACATCTCGCCTGAGATGGTGGCCAAATTATTAGCTACCTTTGTGGAACTAACTAAAAAACTAGATTTTGCTTACAAAAAGATTTCCAAACTTGAAAGTAGGGTAAACAACCCCATTTTTAATGCTTCGAAAAAACAAAGGGTGATTCTTTAGCTGTAGGGAATCTAATTCTAATAAGTTTTCAGCGCTCAAGATGAAGTCGAAATTACTATCATTAATAACGAGAATGATATCACTACTAACAGTAATAACTATAATAAAATTACTTGCTGTAATAACAAATATAGTAACAGCAACGATAGTAGTAAGTATAATACTATTAACAATAGTGATTAGGACCATAATAATATAAGAACAGTTATACCCCTACTACTAAGAGCAGTAGCGGTAGTGGTAACACCTTCAAAAATAAAAAATCGAAGCCACCACTAGCAACAGTACTAGTAAAGTACTAGTAACAGTACTAGTAACATATCCCTAAAAATAAACAACACCCATAATTACATGTGAAAAGCATAAATGACCGGAAGTAGTTTCTCTTTTATCAAACAGTCACATCAACGACTTAACTTTGAAGGATCTCTCGACTGGCATTAAATTTTTCCTCTCAAGTTTTGACGACTTTCGAGAAACCACAAAGCTTCTCTTTGAAAGAAATTATAAATTTTACTCCTATCGACTACCTGAAAAGAAAGCAATTAAAGTATTTTTAAGAGGTATATTTCCAGAATTGAACTGCCAAAAGATCAAAGAAGATCCGCGACGAAGGGATTCCACCCGTTAAAAGTCGCTCAATTGAAAAGCTTTAGAAAAGATAAAAACTGCTTCCACTCTTGTTCTCGTGCATCTACCAAGATCTGAAATATCCAATTTTTAAAGTTACTTCCGTTTGTTATCTCTCAATCTCTTTAAAAAGCCTGAATATCAGCACCGTTTTTGGTCAATCGCTGCCAGCTTTTCAACCATAACTCAATTAGTGCACCTCAGCCCGCGAATGCGTCAAATGTGGTGAAAATCACTAAACTATACGGCGCACAAAAACACCGGAGACTCTACTAAAATGTGCTAACTGTCAGGGCTATCACTCCGCAAACTATAGGGAATGTATATATTATCCGAAAAGCACATACTTAAGAAAAAATGCAACCTACACCCACCACCGCTGTACCTGGACCAGAAGCATCCCTTATAAAAACTATTTCTACCTCCTCAACGAATGGAAGGGTCCGCTCTGAAGGTAAAGTTACATATAATTAAATTTAAGAAATACACTTTTCACTACAGCCAAATTGCTTAATGACCTTCTCAAATCGTTATGTTTGTGCTGCAAAACGCATTGAAGTACACTCATTCTATGCTGGGATGCAGATGGCCTGCGACCCAAAAGAGAAGAGCCGGAAGAGCTTCTAATAAGAGAAAAAATCGATATAGTCCTTGGGAGCGAAATCCACCCAAAACCCGGAAATATCTTTAAATTGCTCAACCACATTATCCCGTAAAGACAGAATTAACCTTAGAAAAGGAGTATAGCAGTATTGGTCAGAAGACACACACCTTGCCCACTCAGAGATTTGTTTAATCAGTTAGCTTTCATCGAGGCAACTGGAATTAAATTAAATCTATACGGTCAAGGCGATGTAGCGGTTGTCTCTACATATAAAGCTCCTGGGAAGCCCCTAGTAAATTATGAAATGAACTTCGTTATGAGCTATCATAACTCCGTAATTCTATGTGGGGAGCTGAGCTGCAAAAATTCATTATGGAATAGCAGAATGGGAACCCTAATGGAGAATTTATCAACAAGTACGCCGAAAATTAGAGGTTAACTGTTTTAGGCCCAACCAACTCAACACGCATTACCAAGTGGGGTACTGCTGATGTATTAGGCCTTGCAGTTTTAAAAAAAATTTTCTCCAAGTTAAATAGGCGATTTTATATGAGCTCTCCTCAGATCCCCTACCTGTAGTTTTTAAAATAAGCTCCCCATAAGTAGGTCTTTCGCCTTTATTACGTAAATTCACTTCGAAACTTTTTCAGAATGTTCAAGACGAAAAACTAAAAGACAACCCCTTGAGACCTAATTCGCCCCCACTTTTCAGTGATTCAATAGTTAACTGTGAAAGCACGATCATTCAATTACACCAAAAGGTCTCTATCACTATGAAACTATCATATTTAAAACCACACCTTCCGCTAAAGTTGAAGTCCTTTCTTCAATCCAAAAACAGCAAAAGAGGAAGTTTGCGTTAACTCGGCCCCCCTGACATAAACAATTACTTAAAAACCTTGAGAAAAAGGTCAAAAAAAACCTCCTCACCTTTCACAACCGTGAATGGGAGTATAAGCTTTCTAATCTAGGAAATAACAAAGCCCTCGATTTCTTATCGGCATATCATTAAATCGGTAAAGAACCGCCATAAACAGCACAGCTTCCTGTTAAACTTGAAGACCGGGACTGTTTATGATGACAAAGAGAAAGTGGAAGTCTTTGCTTAGTACCTTCTGCCCCAGTGCCCATCCTTAACGATTTCTGCAAATAGGACAACTACCCTCACACAACTCTTATCCTCTAGTAAGCAAGTACCGCTAAAGGATCACACAAACTTCCAAGAGGTACAGTCAATTATTAACACCTTCCCAACTAACTCACCAGGGCCGGACAGCATAAAAAACCTCATGCAAGAAATTTACCTAAGTCAGCCTTAAAAACTCACACTCTTATCATTATCGCCACTCTTAGTCTTTAACTATTTCCAGATCGATGGAAAGTGGCCACTTATTTTTCTACCCAAATTAAAAAATCCTCAAACAAGTGGACTATCACCCAGTAAGTCTATTATCCTGTGCTGGCAATGTAGCAGAGTTAGATATACTCAGGTAATTACAGAAATATGTAGAAGAAAACCATATCTTCCCTGAAAACCAATTTGGATTCAGAAGGGGCCACCATTCAACTACGCAGCAGTTCCTGAGGTTCACGGAACACGTGACAAAGGGATTTTACAGCAACAAGTGCACATGTGCTATACTGAAAAGGCTTTTGATAAAGTTTGGCATGCGGGTCTCATAACTAAACTAAACATCCTAAGTATACCAGATTACCTCCTCTCCCTTATTCAATCATTTCTGCACCTTAGAAAGTTTTTTACCAGATCGACCAATACCTCATCATATTTATCATAATTCGCTGATGCCATAACAATCTTTGCTATTTCTAAGTTAGTTCCGCTAGCAGTAAGATGTGCGAGCATACATCGAATGGATCGAGCTCTCGTTCGCCCAGTGCCACCTTACTATTAACCCTTCAAAGAGCGCAGCCATAATCATTACTAAAAGATGTAAAAGACTTTATCTTCAACCAATCGTCATTCACGGTACACCAGTCTCCTGGCGCACTAACATAAATTATCTGGACCTCATCATAGGAAACAGACTCTCTTGGTGCAACCGTATTGAACATTTCACGAAAAAGGCTAAACCAGAGATCAAACTAGTATACCCGCTTATCTTCCAGAAAAGTCGCCTCTTTAAAGGCAATAGGTTTCAATCCAATCTCATCACTATT